AAGACCACGTTATGGACTGAAGGTGTGTATTCCTCCCCTCACATTCTTGTGGAAACCCTCATCCCCAGTGTACTGAATTTGGAGACAGGACCTTTACAGAAGTAATTAAGGTGAAATGAGGTTGTAAGAGTGGGCCCTGATTTGATAGGGTTAGTTTCCTGATAAGAAGAGACGCCAGCATGCTCGATTTCTCTCTCCCCAGGAGAGCATAGCGGAAAGCTTGTGAGGTGCAGCAAGAAGGCGGCAGTGTGCAAGCCAGGAAGAGAGTCCTTAGCAGGCAGTAAATCTGCTGGCATCTTGATCTTAGGCGTCCCAGGCTCCAGTCTGTGAGAAATAATTTTTTGCTGCTTTAAATCCCTCCATCTGTGGTATTTTGATATGACAACTTGATAGACTTTGCAAACTTTGATGAGTATTGCACGAAAAGGTACACTAATAAGCATTTTTCTCAGAAAACAACAGGTATATGTCCCATTATATTGTAGCATCTCATTTTTCATCCATCAGCCACCTATTTTTCTACTTGTACTTAATTCTTGAGTTGTTTCTTTAACAGCAGTAGCTCCATCAGGTCTGACAAATACAACTGGGGTGAGTATCAAAAGTGCTGCCAAGAAGGAAGCCTACGGTTAGGATGGGAATGGTCATTTTAAAGCGTAGTGAAAAGAACTTCCCTGGCGGCTCAGGTGGTGAAGAATCTGCCTGCAATGAAGGAGACCTGGGTTTAATCCCTGGGTCGGGACGATCCCCTGGAGAGGGGAATGGCTACCCACTCCAGTATTCTTGTCTGGAGAATCCATGAACCTCTGGTGGGCCTCTGGTGGGCTGCAGTCCATGGAGTCACAAAAAGTTGGACACAACTGAGCAACTAACACTTTCACTTTCAAAAATATGCCAGGAGGCAGGATATGTCCTCAGTACATGTGGGATACACATGCATTCTATGGCGGGCATGACTGTAACGGCACATGTATCACATAACATGTGAAATGTGTTGTGGCAGCTAGCCAGAGGAAGAAAAATGATCAGAGAGAGAAACCCAAGGGTGTGGCATCGTATCAGTGGGGATTGAGTACCACAGTAATTCCTCGGAGATAAGGGAGCTTTTCTCGCTCACCTTCGGACACACCTGAGGTTAACAGTTGATTGCTGCTGTCAGCCCGGTGTCCAGCATGACACGGATGTCATCTCCCAGGCATAAGCAGACATCAGTAGAGCAGGACTGAAGTTCAGAACAGGAGCTCACGCAGCAACTTGGAGGAAAGCCCGCAGACTAACGAGAAGCGCTGCTGTCCCTGGGGAGTGTCAGCCCAGCAGGGGGACTTGGGGGACTGGCTTCCCCCAAGTAGGCAGCAGAAGAAAGCAGATTCTGGAGGATGACACAGCCTGCTTCAGGACTCCGCGCCCCTGCCTCTGAGGCTTGTAGGGCTTCTACAAGTTGTTAAACCCAGTGAGCCCCTGAAACAGAGCCGGCTCTTGTGGGAAAATCACGAACACAGGGTAACTCAGAGCTGGAAAATGATGAGTGCAATCAGATCATAAAAGTGAAAATGTTTTGGAACAACCTTAACAGGTATTCTTCATTTACATATTCCTTCCTAAATATGCAAAATGTGTGTTACTGTTAGTTGCTCGGTCATGTGGGACTCTTTGTTACCCCTATGGGCTGTGTAGCCCACCAGGCTCCTCTGTCCACGGGATTTCTCAGGTGGGAATATTGAAGTGGGTTGCCATGTCCTTCCCCAGGGGGTCTTCATGACCCAGGGATCGAACCCTGCGTTGTAGGAGGATTCTTTACCATCTGAGCCACCAGGGAAACCTGCAAAACAGTGATAGAGAATAGTTTTGCCTACATTGAAAGGAGCTCTTTAAAAATAATAAATTAAAAAATTGAAGGGATTAGAAAGCATTATGCCTAGTGTAATTGGCAGCTTTTCCCCCCTCCCTTAGAGGTAACTAATGGTGCATCTAATAAAAGGTGTCTTAGAATTGATGGACTACAATAGCCTCTTGTTATAACAGGAGAAGCAGGTGGTTTGTTGAGACCCTGAAAGTCTCTGCATGTGAAGGGACAATGGATGTCACAGGTGACCGAGGGTTCAAGGTCCCTTTGAGCCTGCCCATCCCCAGAGGGAGAGGCGTGGTGGCCCCTGTCGGTAGTAGCTACCCTGCAGACTTCTCCTGATACAGGTGCCCAGGCAAACATCCCAACAGTAAAGGCGCGAGGGTGCAGAATGTACTTAGTCATGGCTTTTGGGTCGTAACCTGTTTGTTATGGTATGTGTGTGTGTGTGTGTATCATGTACCTGAATTTATACACGTGCGTACTCACTCATGTATACATGTATGTTAAAGGTTTTTGTTGTTCAGTTACTAAGTCGTGTCCATTCTTTACAACCCTATGGTTGTAGGGGTTGTAGGCTTCCAGGCTCCTCTGTCCTCTGCGATCTCTCAGAGTTTGATAGATCTGTATATCTATGACCCAATACACATAAGTTTCTATACATGCACTCTCACAGACACATATTGTGTGACAGCCTGCTTTTTATAAATGTATGTTTGCTCTTTCTGTGTAATTACATATCCTCTCTAACCCTTTGTATGTGATCTCACAGAATCCTTTTGTCTGGTTTTGTACTACTTTAATCACTCGTGTTATTCAACGATTTCTTCTCGCTATTTGAAGGACATTCTGTGGCCAAGCTGTGTGCAGATCTGTAATGTTTTTATTCACTAGATCCTCACATGTGCCTATTTGTGGCTCAGACTTGGCACGGCAACAAGCCTGTTGGTGCCTGTTTACTGTTTTTTGTTAATGTGTGTGCAGGTTAAAGGACCAACATATGGGTTAGGATGGAGGTTATGGGTTTGATGTTAAGCTCAAACCCTAGAATCACCCATTCCTGGCTGATAACCTTAGGATAGGTGTCTTAACCTCTCTGGACCTTAGTTTCCTCATTTGTAAACTGAGTCTATGACATCAGCTTCATAGAATTGCCAAGGTAATAACATAAGGTGTATCAAGTGCCTGACATGTAGCAACCCCTAGGTCAGTGTTACTCCAGCTTAGAAGGCAAGGGATAGACAAAAACACCATGCTGATGTGGTCCCGAAATTTTGAGAGATGACAGAGGGTATATGACAGATGGTGCTGTTCACGGACTACTAATGCCTTTGGTCCTTAGTTTTTGTGGGTGGACCAAAATAAAGGAGAGGAATGAAATTGTGTCTACTCTGTAGGTACAGCTGCCATCAAGGACGCGATTTCTGCAGTTGCCTGGAGTCTGCACTTGGCTTAATGCTCCACGGTCGCCATCTGGAAATTTTTAATTTTGAATAGTGGCTCCATGTTTTCCCTTTGCAATGGGCCCCACAGAGTAGGTCCTGCCCTAAGATTGTGAGGGGTGTGAAATGAGAGCTCACAAAAGACTACATAAGACTTGACAACCATTGGATGGATAAATTATTTTCTTTTTATAAACAGAGACCATCATGATCAGTGCACTTTAGACATCATTTCATTATTCAAATAGTATGCGATAAATCTGCAGTTAGTCTCAGTGTGCAAGTAAAGAAACTGAGGCCCAAGCAGTTAAGTCACCCAGGAAAATCACCGAGCTTATAAATGCAGAACTTGGATTCGAATCCAAAGCCCACCCCATTGACCTGTGCTATGAGTTTTAGCTCCCTCTTCCTTTCTGTAAAACCCAGTGTTTTTGTGTCCTTGATACTCATAGGCAGCACAGTCTCATTCCCAGCAGAGGTTTCAAAGCCCCTCAGAGAAACTGCAGAATTTCCCCCTGACCTGGACCCTCTCAGGGATACGGCAGACATGACAGCCCCTCTTCTCACCCTCAGTCCTGCCCCTCCGGTCCCCATGCCTGCGTAGCATCCCTAGCTCACAGTTCTGTTGGCTGGTCCAATCTGACCAGCCTGGGGACAGTTCAGCTTGGCTTCCTCTGACTTCTGATATACTTGGCTTCTAATGGCTAGCATCCGACAGAGACCTCTGAACCACCATGAGAATCAGTGGGAGATAGGTTGGTGTCGGGTCCTGGGAAAGAGGCTGCGGGAGACGTCTACTTCCAGCAGACCAAGGACACGGCCATCTGTCCTGTGGCAGGGAGCCCTGGTTCTCCTGCAGTGCCAGGCCGTGATCTGCTCTGCTCACTCTTTTCTCTGCCAGAGAAGGAGAGAGAACCATTCCAGTACACCACTAACAAGCAGGTATATGGCTTGGTACAGGGCAGATCCAGGGCAACAGCTTACGATGTGTCGACTCCAAGCAGGGACGTTCATACTTGAGCATTTCGTCTCTTGGATAACTGGATTTGAATTTGGAGTGTGACAATGAGACTGTTTGTTTCTTCACAGCGATTCCCTAAGTGGCTGTTTGCTCAAGACTTGTGTAGTGTGAACAGAGACTTGGGGGAGGGGAAGAAGCCATCTGCTCTGGAACAGTCTTCCAATTACATGATCAAATTACTGCAGAGCAAAATGGAGGGGATCCAACAGAAAGTTCCTGTCTGGTGCATGCAGCCCCAGCCCTCTCTCTCAGGCCATTGTGTTGACATGGAGACCCACACGCAGCTTGCAGAGCCAAGGCCATGATAACTAGGAACATGCGCAGGAGGCAAGCAGAGAAAGCCAACGAGGAGACAGTCAGGGTGAGCTTTCCGGCCGTTCAGCCAAGTGAAGCCATCTTGAATTTGAATTAGAAAGTGAACCTTTTTCTTGCTTTAGAGATCCATTTCTCCGATTACAATTAATTTATCATCTCACATGAAAAAGTCGTGTCTTTTTATAAATTACATTCATGATTTTTATTTGTTGATATTGTATTCAGGTTCCTACATCTATTTATCTATTTATTTAAGAACCATTTTCTAATTTCATAAATGTGGCCTGGGTCAATTTGCAGAGCATCCTTGGGTCTTATTTTTTTTCCTCTAAATATGTGTGTTTTTTTTTTTCCCTCCTTCTTCTCTTTTTGCTATTAGGCATTCATGCAGCCTCACTTGCTGGGAAATGAGTTCACACATTTGGAGTTTCCAAGGAGAGTACAAAGGAAGGAGCTTGGAAAGAAGATGCTCTACAGGGATTTTAATATGACAGGCTGGTAAGAACATGCCTCCCTCTGCCTGGGCACTGCCACGGTGTCTGTGAAGGCCGCGTCGCCGCCACAAAATGTCAGTTCTGCAGTTTGGATCAGGATGTGCAGGTGGAGCCCTGGGCTGGTGGGGAAGGGAAAGGGTCTACACCCGCTGCTGCGGCTCTCAGATCTGGGTGTTGGTTTGCTTCTCTGCTCTCCGAGGCCCTCCCTAAGGACACTCGACCCACCAAGCTGATGTAATCCCCCACTTCACACACAGCAGGAATTTGGGGGCTTTTAAAACACATTAAATTTGGCTTTTTTAGGTCACAGTTACTTAAGGAGGTAACAGGGCTCAAAGGAATGAGCCAAAGCTCTATTTGGCCAGACCAGCTTGGATTTGAATCATAACTCTGACCTTTCTGAATAGGCCGAGTTGGATAAACTGCTTAACCCCTATGAGTTCAGTTTCCCATGAATAAAATGAAAAGAATACTCTCTGAAGGGTGGGTGTAAGGACCAGCGGTAATGAGCTGTCATTATTTCACCACATTTCACCACAAAAGAGCTCTTGGCAAAGGGCATCATATTCTCCAAACACACCTATCTATATAAGGCACCCAAACCATTTCTGTGGGTCAGTAGTTAACATTGACTAAGACCTCATCTGTTTGTTCCCACTGAAAATAGATATGGTGATGAAGTACTGAGACTTCATAAGGTTGGTGTAAGGACGAAGCGAGGGGAGAGTGGCTGGCACGAAGAGGGTGGGGGAAGTTTGCTCCGGACCCTGTGGTCCTGACCAGGGAGCCCCTCGCCAGTCTGGAGGACAGCAGAATGAGACGGTGGCCTCTTGCCTTGCCCCGTCCCCCGCACAGGGTGCAAAGTAGATTCCATTATCTCTTCTCATTGGACTAAAATAGCAGTAACAGATGGTCACAGCCCGGATTCTCATGGGGATGACTTTTAGGCTGAAAATCCACTGCAAGGGTACACACTGTCTTAAAGGAATAGTCGAGCTACCCGGCCAGGATCAGAGGCTATCCTGAGACATGTCCAGTTGTCTTTTGTCATCCAAAGAAATCCTCACCAGTATCCACCCTTCTTCTAGAGCAGGGTAAGCAAATTGCAGTCCAAGAACCAAATTCCAACCCCCCCCAACCGCCCCCACCACCTCTGCCTGTAAATAACTTTGAAAAGTACAGTCACATTCTTTTGTTTATGTTTGATCTGTCACTTCATGCGACAACAGAGCCTTTGAGTGGCTGCAGCAGGGCCTTAAAAATACTTACTCCTGCTCTAAAACATGGTTGGATTTATCAGAAAGGGTTTACTATGTTTGCTGCTCTGAGCTCTGAAGTTTTGTTGCTCCAGACTGGGTTTTCTTGCAAATGCATTCTTATTCAATCAGCAGAATCAGCACTCCTTACAGAAAAGTTTCAGGTGAGGGTTCATGTAATTCAGAAAACCATGGAGGCGTTTGGTCTGGTCTTTGTAGAATTTGGAAAGGTGGACTGAAAACCATTCCGGGTTAGGAACCCACGTGGTTATAAACACATAAATAGAAAGAGCAAAGCTAAGAGACAGCGAGGAAAATGGCCAAAATGGGAGGAGGCTGTGGCTGTAGGAAGTCAGGCTGAGATGGTACCGGGAGAGCATAACTGAGAATGTGGGAAGCCAGACAGAGAAATTGAGGTTTACGGTGAGACCCTGCTGGTTACACTTTTGTGTTGCTGAGGAGAATGAAATGATAAAAGCAATGCTTTAGGAAGGTTATTGTACAGTAAGAGAGGGAGAATGACCAGGAGAGAAAGCAGATTCAGATATCTAGAGAAAAACTATCATAGAAATATGGATATGAGATCTCCAGAGCCAAATAGAGGGATGGAAGCAGAAAACAGAGAAGGCAAGGAAATAAACAAGAAACTAGATGGTTTTGGTCAAGGGATACATGTCAGGGGTAAGTCATCAGTTCCTCTAATTATAGGGGTCTGTCAGCCCCCAGAGGGGGAGCCCCATGCCTCATCCTGTGTCTGACATGTAGTCGACAGGCTGTGATTATTGGATGAAAGGTGTGATTGACAGAAGTTGATGGGGGTGGCGGACACACAGATGGTTGATGGAAAGGGTAGGAATGAGAAGCCAGCACACGAGCCATGTTGAGCTTGAGGCAAGGCTGTTTGTATTTTCTTTCTATGCCAAAAAGGCAAATTAGATCTCAGCAGTCACAACAAACTTGGTAAACAAATGGCTAAAGATTACCCCTTTTTACAGTTTTTTTTAAACGTAGATAAGTTCAGGATTAGATTACATCCAGCTTTATACACACACGCAGTTCTTCTCTTTTGCTCTCTATCTAACATGCAGGCATGCACACGCATTAGCAGGGTCTTAAACAAATGAACAGTCCATAAATGGGCTGTATTTAACTGTGCAGAACTCCACAGAAGGTACCAAATAACTGAGGAGCCAAGACTGAGAATGGCTTCGGTCAGATGTGATTTGCTCATTTGTTTCAGCAAAGTTCCCTGTGTGGCTGTTGGCTCACAACTTTGGCTACAAGCAGAGATTGATGTACATCTTTGTTTATTTCCTATCTGTTGTTACTTAGGATTTGAAAATGACACTTATAGGAAAGGAGAGATCTATCTTTGTTGGAAGAAGTTGGGAAGTTTAAAACCAATTTAAACCACTGCCTATGTAAACTCCTTCTGCCCACCTCCCAGCTTTAATGAGTTCTTTTAAAAAATGTTTTTCACCTCTAAAGGAAAACCTCAAACCTAGCAGTTATTTTTTCAGGACTTGGGAAACATGGACTCCCAGGTTCCTCTTTTTCTGAGTTGTCTGTTAGAAAGAGAAAGGCTGACAAATGAATTAAACAGAAAGAGACAAGGGTCTGCAGCCTCTTTTTCCATGAGAGCCCCAAATTACTGCCAAGGTGTTGGGATTGGTTGAAGGTGGACTGGTGGGTGTTGGGAACGCATCATGCTCAAGGAGACAGGTATGTCCTCACCCCAACCCTCCTTTATGTTTCTTGGCTTCAGAATTAGTCTTGGCCTGTGAACTTGTAAACCTTTCTAACAAGTAAGGGTTCATCCATTGCCAAGCTGTTGAAACCTTGTAGCAAAGACTTAGTTGTGGAAATGTTTATCTGCCTGCTTGTCCCTACTGGTCATGGGGCTGGCTAACAGTGAGGGAGACAGCTAAGGGCCGGGCACCAACTGTGATGAGGCCTTTACACACTTCCTATGAACTAGGTCCATTTTACAGATGAGGAAACTGAGACACATGGGCCAAGTTGCTCAAAGTCATTCAACTCGTCCAAGGGGAGAAGCCAGTCTGTGAACCCAGGTGACCTCACTTCAGGGGTACACTGTTCAGTCTGGTGCTAAACTGTCAAATGCCTAAAGAGGAGTCCTTCTCCTCATTCCCATTTTGCAGCTGAGCAAATTGAGGCTCAGAGGGATTAAGTGGCTTACACTTACTTAAGTGGCCACGAATGCAAAAATGTCAGAATAACCCAGGCTTCTGATTCTTAGCCTGGGGCTCTTTCTGATACAATGGATCAACTTTTCTTCAGAGTGAGATTAGACATGATTATTCAGTTTTGAGCTACAGTGGAAATTTAAGCAGGGGACCTCCATCTACCCAGATCAGTGTCTCCTTGCCAGCCCTTTAGAGGACAAGAGGATGAAATAAAACATTTCAGGAGCTGCCGAGGTAGTCATTTTTCCAGTTCTCAATCTGACCCAGTGGACTGTTGGCCAAATTAAACTGTGATGCTTCACACTCGTCAGTAAAAGTCTGTGTGTGGTTTGGGGGTGGTGATGATGGGGACGATCCCCAAAGCACCAGATTTCCTTTACTTAGGAAAATTGACTGCTCTCATTAGAGGAGCATCCTGCCAGCTTTCTGTGGTGTGTCTGCAGCCGGGAGGAAGTGTGGGAGAGGATGTCAGCTCCGGGAAGCCTGCTCTCATAATTAAGGATGAGTCTGTTGCCTTCGGATGGGGATTCTTTCTCTCCCACCCTCGTGCTTTCTCGGAGACCATGGAGCTTGGCAGGCCCAGATTGTATAGAGGACAAAAGGTTATTGTCACCCAGACCTTCCTAATGAAATCTGTCTCTCCCTGGCTCCCCCACCTCCTTTCTGCTCAGATAGTTTGCACAGTGGTTTGATTTATGCAGGCTTTTTTTTCCCCTCTTTTTTTTAAGTTATTTTATAAATCAAGTTTTGTTTCTTTTGTTTTTCTGCATTTTTTTTCCACTGTGGCGGGTGGGTCTTTGTGTGCTGGCTTCTCTTGCTGTGGAGCATGGGCTCCAGGACAGGCAGGCTTCAGCAGTTGCAGCTCCCGAGCTCTAGAGCAGACTCAGTTGTGGCGCACAGGCATACTTACTCTGCAGCATGAGGGGGGATCTTCCCGGACCAGGGATCGAACCCATGTCTCCTGCATTGGCAGGCAGATCCCTTACCTCTGAGCCACCAGGAAAGCCCCACAAAGGCATTTTCTAACAGCACCCTGGATGCTGAGTCGGTCCCTGACATGTCCCAGCTCTTAACCTTCCATGCTGCATGTCCTTGGTCCTGGCGCCAGAACCCTGGCCTTGGACTTGGTAGGAGCCGTGTCCCTCCTCCCCAGCCCTTTGTGTGAAGCTGCCGTCTGTCGCTCGATGCTCACTAGCTGACGTTGTGAGCCCAGCGTCCTGACCCACTCCCCTCTGTGCCGTCTCCGGCCGTAATTTGCTGGCAGGCATCTGTGTTCCCGAGCTAAAACAACAGTTTCTCACAGCTGGCTCTGTGGCCCCGAGTGCCCGCTCCTGTGACGGCGGCGACTTCGCTTTCTCGTGTAGGATCTCTGTTCTTTGTGCTCTGGGTCTGGCCGCATGGGGTGACGAGCAAGGCTGGGCCCCCCCACACACACCCCAGCGCACACGGGAGGGGGCCAGCGCTTCACCCCTGGCTTTGGGCCAGACTCTCCAGCAGCTGTTCCTGGGCTGATGGGATTTGTTGAGAGCGAGGGCCAAAGA